AACTCAAAAGAACTCACGGTACATGCTCTTGTATAATTCACAGAAAATTTTAAAGTAGAAAAGACCTTGACCGTGCCTTTTTCCACTTCCACTCCTCTTACACATCTTCCTGAAAACACACCCCCCCCCACACACACACACACACACAACAACACACACGTTTCTGTTACCCAAAGGCTAAATTCTAACGAGTCCCCTCTCCCTGACTACAAGGCCTACAATCCTGCCAGCACCGATTGGCGTCATGCTGACCGGTCCACTCCACTCCACTCCCGCCCCCACCCACCCCTCTCTCCCACTCAACACATAGTACACACACACACAATCGTACAGCACACTACATTCATGCACTGCCAACCCTCACGGAGCACAGCATAGAATTATTCAGCTTTTGCACCAGCCAGGCCGGCACACACCGGAAGCTTGGCTATGGATAATAAACAGGTGGATAGCACGCACCCAGAGATATAGGTGACTGTGTTATTTTGAGCCTGTGTGTGTGTGGTGCGAGGCTGGATGGTGTTCGGCATGTCGAGGAATGGGTTTCTCGTGGCACGCCAGCCTCATTTTCACAGCACCCAGCTCGGTCACAACACAGCCACGCTCTGCTCCTCGCTCCTCGTACGCTACGGCTCGGCTAGAGTACAATTACACGCAAATAAATGCACACGCAGACACATACAGAAAAATACGGGCGTCCACGTGCGCTCACGCAGAACACTAACAGCGCAGGTATGCATGCAGGAAAAGGGCACGGCGGCGCAACAGCGAGGGGAGCCGGAGAGACAGAAATGGAGACGAAGGGAGACGGAGGCAATCGAGAGGGAGGGTATCTACTTAGAGTGTTGACATTGCAGGAGCCCACATGTGTGTGCCGGAGCATAATCTTCTCTCCGCTCTCATTGGGTTTTTAATGCGGGTGCTATTTCCATAAACCTGCCTCCTGAATCACTGCCAGCCGCTTACACTCCCCCCAGGTCGAGCTGTGCTAATACTAGGAGTAAATGCATGCAGCAAACACATTTCCAACCAATGCTCTCTCCAAGACAATCACTGTTGTACACAATGCTAGCATGACAAAAAAAAAAAAAAAGAAAAACTGGGGAGGGGAGGGTGGCATGTTTTTCTGTGCTACAGCAAATAGACTTGCTGCAGTGACTGAGATTATTTCTTGGATCTGCTGGATTTGAGGAGTGGCAGTGAGAGGACGGAGAGTTTGATGAGAGTGTGGGTGGGTGTGGGGGGGGATTGAGGAAGGGAGAGAGAGAGGGGGATGGGTTGGTGGGGTGGGTGGGTGGGTGGGTTGGTGGGTGGATAGTGTGAAGGATGCAGGATTTTGTCATGATGCTAAGCTGGGTGGAGTAAATCTCCTGCGGACTTGTGTGGAGAGCTGTGACACAAGCACACACTCACCAACTGCTGCAGAAAGAGTCACTGTGGGCCTTAACTGTCATAAAGGGATCACCGGGAAAACATTTTAGTGTCCGGGTCACCGGGGGATCTTTATATTTTACTTGGTTATGAGAAAAAAAGGAGTGATATTTGAGTTTTAAAGTTACCACACACACACACACATATAGAGGAAAAAGCACTCGTGTGGTTATGTAATATAAAAATGTAGCGCATCTCCATCAGCAGCGAGCGAGAAGCACACGAATAATATATTCAAGACTCAGTGTCGTGGGCGGCCTGCGGTCACGGCAAGCTGCCATGTGCACATGTTTTTCGTCGCACCTTTAAACGTCACTATCTGAATCTACATAGAGCTGGCTGCGATGCAAAGCCGGCTTACCGCAAACACACATGACTAATAGAGCCGAGCGGCACACACCTGGTAAACTGTCAGAGCTTCTCCCTTTCTGTGGCCAAACTTATGTCAGGCACTCGTGTCCCCAAGGTTCCCATCACACTTCACAGCAGGAATCTATATTCCAGTCCAGTACACTTCCATTAGGCCATACTGTTCCTTTCAGCAGCTAATGTGTAACAGGGGGGACATGGATAATAACATTCAAGAACACCAGTGCTTCTTCCTGATGACACTGGCTTGTGTGTGTTTGTGGGACTCCGTGTGCCGCACATGCAATATGTATATGTGAGAGCTTTAAAAGAGGATTTTAAGTTGAAAAAAAAAGTTAACTTCACAGTCAAATCCTCTTTTTGGGCACTGCTTATAGTCAATTCTATACCTCTCTATGCAGTTTTCATTTCTGTGGATTGGAAACTTTTCAAAAACTCATGTATTGAAAGTAATAAAACGACAAAAGCCAGAGTATTTTCAAATAACGCTAAATGTAATCATGACTACTCACACAACAACACAACTCACTGTGATCTTTTTCTGCAGCTCCCACTTTTAATCTTGTCACCTCCACAGTTTGTTTGTGTCCACAGAGTTTGCTTGTCTTCCGCCAAAGCTTTTTGCACACGTTTGCTGCCCTAATGGTCAATACTGAACTCCACCACCAGTAAACGGCAGGTGATGCCAAATCAACCTGGACTGGAATCTTAAAGTCCGTTTCTGCTGCCCCTCTCAACATGAAAAAAAAACAAAGCAGAAGTCAGAGATTCGGTGCTTTGCCCAAGGGCAGTACAGCAGACATAGAGTTTGTACCCAGGCCCTCCAATTAGAGGCTTACCCAAAAAAAAAAATACAAAACATCCCATCTCATGAAATTCAAGTGTGTGCATGCTGATTGGTGTCCATGCTGTCGTGTGTGTGTGTGTGTGTAGGAGGAGGGAGTTGCTTGTTTGTAGACGCTGCATGAGATTCAGAAAAGCTTGTTGGGTGGCGCAGTTTTAATACACGGTTCTAGTCATTTGCAAGCAAGTAAAGTACAGCAGCATTTTTTTGGGGGTGGTTTGGCATGAATTCATATTCAGACATTTAAAATAACAGATATGGATGAGACGTTAATAACTCATAACCCATCTCTGGAGAATTCCTAGTTTACATTAATTACACCATAGCCCCTGGCAAACTGCATATCAAGCAGGATTTTGCAAACAAACAACTGGCAGATCTACTTACCATCAAGCGGCGAAGCAACAGGGGTCATATCGCAAAAGATTTAAGGGGAGGAAGGCTCAAGAGGGGAGGACAGGGGAAGCTATGGGAGGGCAGTCGAACACACAAACACAGAGCGGATGAAGTAGTTTCTGTTTGCTGTATCGCTGAATACTATCCTAAACTGAGCGTTTGTGTTCGCAGATCTCGTCGGCACGTATAGGATGTTTAGGGCCACTGGTGTTTTTGCAGAGTGTGCCTTGTACCTATGTGTGGCTGCAGCGTTACAGCGCTCGACGCCTGCGTTTCCTTGGACCGCTGGTGTTTGTGTGTGCCAGTGAGTGAAGTTGAAGGGAAGGGAACAGTAGAGCAACCTCAGCCTGACACCCATCAACGTCTGCCTGTTACATTTCTATGACACGCTCTGTCTCAGGAAGAGCAGCAGCAGTGGAGCAGTGGGAGAGTGGGGGAGGCAGGAGGGGGGGAGATAGAGAGAGAGAGAGACAGGAGGATGTGGGTGGACAGGACTGGGTGGGGTAAAGGGGAAGTCAGCGGGAGGGCTAAAGCAGGACTGAAAGGTACAAGGAAAAGGTTTTTATTTCTCACGAGTGAAACATGGCAACTTTCGTGTGTGAGCTTGCGCAAGCAGAAGCTTTCAGAAGCCGTGCGTGAGAAATGCAACATGCAAGGCTGTGTTTGCAAATTCTCTGCGTGCACAACCCCCTTTTTTTTTTTCCCCCTCCATTCAGATGATTGTTAAACCTTTCAGAGGCCAGATGGTTTGAAGATCTGCTCGTCTCTTGGAACAAGTCAAGAAGGGAGAGCAGCCGACTTGTTAGCATCTATATCTGTGCCCTCGTGCCCCTCATTTATACATTCAGCCACAACAAGTACTTAATCCCAATGGCAGGTCAACCCTAATGGATGCCCTGCCAGGCTGGCAAGGAGAGATGTTATTAATGACTATGAGACGTGAGAGGAAAACCTTGAAGGAAAAAAAAACTCAAACCAAAAGACAAAAATCAACAGAGTCAAATCTTCCTTTTTGGCAATACATTGCTGAACACATTTATAACCTCTCATAAACACATCCTCTGGCATTGTGTGGAAGAAGTTTTTGTCCTCTCTCTCTCTCTTTCTGTCTCTCTCTCTGTGTCTTTCGTCTTATTATTCAAATGCAAAGCAAAAAAAAAAATAAAAAAAAGCAGCAGAATAATGCCCTCTAGCCTCACGCTTGGCTAATTTGCAGGATAAACGAAACAACTTGTTTTTCAAGGAAGCCACCAGGAAGAGAAAAAAAAAATTGTTCAAAGTTGGTAGATGTATTTGCATGCTTAATCTCAAACATGTGCCTTTTGGCTGGGTTTTCTCAGGCTCTTTGTCTTCCATCAGAGGGGCTGCTGGGGGTGTGGAGGAGGGAGGTATGGTGGGGGGGGGAGGTAGGGGATGAATGGATCTTTACTGATGTTCCTCCCTGGTGCAGGCTTGATCTGAACATGTTAAGCTACGCTGCCTCTGTGGGGAGTCACTTCTACACATCCCTCCTTCCCTCCGTCATTGTCTCGACACTAACAGGATCTCGCAGCTTTCATGCACAAACAAATTACACAAATACATGCAATGCAGATGAACGCAGTTTGACATGTTTTTTTTTTTTGTTTTTTTGGGGGGGGGGGGGTTCTGCTCAGCTTTCCAGAAATGCGCAGCTCTCTACAGCCTTCTATGGTGTTGCTTTAAAAGTACGAGGCAGAGTGGGCCTGATCAATGCTGGCCATATTCCCTCGAGAACAGACACATGGAAAAGTTGAAACCGGGCCTTCAAAAGGCTGAGCTATTGATTGAATTGCCTTCCAAAGTGTTTTTCATCTCTGGGACTATACAAGGAGAATGCCGGCTGGTGTGCAGCCGGGTGCAGATGGCATGGCTGACCACCATAGAGAGAAAAAGAGAAGGGAGAGCGAGGAGAGGAGGGGAGAGAGAGGCAGACACTTACCCCTGGCAGTGTTTTCTGTTCGTGGAGGGCGTTCTGGGCCTTGATGGCCGACTCTCGGGCGCAGTAGGTGAGGAACGCACAACCTGCAACGGCGGCACAGCACAACCTGATTAGAATCACATTAAAACCAGAACTAGCATAATAGCATAAATAATGCACAAAAAAATAATTGAGAACCAAATTAAAATGTAAGAATACGAGGACATTAATGAAAACGAATTGAAGCAATTGGACAATTACGGAACACTTAAGGAACCTGATCTGTACAGAAGTGCCTCATGAGTTAGTGAAAACTCCCTGCAAACATTTCTTTAAATAAACAGCGCCGGCTAATAAAAGCAGGCAACCGTCCAAGACTACATGTGGACAATTTTCTACGGTGGCAAACGAAGAGAAGAGACGACAACACCGACAAAAACTTAAGAGATGAGCAGAGGATTATTTGCATGAATTGCCAGGCCTGTCCAGCCTCCCCATCCCTAGTGCCACGTCCTGTCCAGAGCTCCCAGCAGCCTGGCCAGTGTCCTCACCCTGAATGTTTGTGACAGCGGCGGAGACAAAAGAAACGGGACCGCAGGAGAGAACTGAGCGGCGTAGAAAAGGAGGGATGAGATCAGTTTAGAGATAGAGGAGGAGGGGAGACACTGACAGAGAAGAGAGGTGATGTTAAAACTCTCCTGGGTGAATGCCTAAATGCAAGACTCACAGTCGCACACATCAGCCAAGGACCAATGGGAGTCATGCACATACGTACAACATCTGTCATATCCACTGCACACGAAGAGAAGAGAAGAGAAGAGAAGAGAAGAGAAGAGAAGAGAAGAGAAGAGAAGAGAAGAGAAGAGAAGAGAAGAGAAGAGAAGAGAAGGATGGAGATGGAGGGAAACCAGATGGAGTATTGAGGCAATCATTTTCCCCCTGACTATCTGAATAAATAGATTTGCTTGTGTTCTATTAATGAGGTTCATATGGGTTAGCATGCATCATATTTCTGCCACTCTGAAGATGGTTTATTAGCAGCCACTGCATTTTTTTTGGATCTCATTTCAACAGCCAAATGTATTCAGTGGGTGGTGATGTATTAAGTGTCTTTACACGGACAATATTCCAATCTGTTTTTCTTGTTTCATACCAGCTCACTTTTCCTTATCCATGCACCATTTTTTTTTCTTTTTGTGCCTCAGGACACACATATAGAAAAGTGTATGTGTTCCTTTTTTTTTGGCCATTTCATTGACCTTTGCACTATGACTGTGTCACTGTAACCTCGTCAAGACTGTATTGAAAAGAAGGGTTAAAATGCCATGTAAGTTATTGATCCATTGACTGTTCGGGGGGGAACCTGTTTCGCCTTGCTGCTCAAATCATTTACTATCCACAGCATGGGCTTGCATGCCTGCACCTGCATATACAGTACAACATTTTATCACTATTATTTAAAATCACATTCCGTTTTACTGCATGAAGCTTCTCCTTTAGTTTAGGGCAGCTTGTCTGCACACTGCCGTTGCATTTCAGTGTGTGAAAGACAGACAGTGATGGAGTCTGCCCAGGGTCGTGACCTCTGAGGTCGCTGACTGTAGCACTGGTGTCACGGTGCAGCCCTCCCCACAGCCCCTCTTGTCCCAGCACCCCTAACCTAATGATTTCCAATGGCCACCAGCAAGTAAATCACTCACACTGCTGTCTAATTCACCGCCCCTCTTCTGCATCAACGGGTACAGAAACAGCAAGGCTGTGGAACATCGCTGTTTTTGGCTTGTTTGTTTGTTTGTTTCTTAAACGGGTGAGGGTAATAGGAGGGAATGGCTCCATTTTTGTGGTTGTTTTTCTCTCTTTTTCACTCTCTGTGGGCTTATTGTTGGTTTACTTGACAAATGCTGGCCCTATCTCTGAATAAGAAACAAGTATTTTGCATTACAATCACAAATGCGATTTATTTGTTAATGTGTAATGCATAGGGCATTGAGAATAAATTAATAACAACCACAACACTGGCAAACAAAAGAGAAACATGAACTCCATTTAAATGTGATTCCGTGCTCTTTAATGTATGGCTTAATAAGAATTTGCAGGCCACAGGCGAAAAAGCTTTAACAACTCCATAATTGGAATCCAAACACGTACAAATTGCCAGTGCTGCATTGCATACCAAGTGCAAAAGTGTGAGTGGGGGGAGCATGATGAAATTGTTTGAAACACAACAAAAAGCCACTGTAATCAGAGCCTGCTGACACAGCAATGGGGGAAGCCTTCCCACTGTGAAGAGATGATCCTCTGCATCATCTGACAGAAACCTAAAACAGCTTTATCTCGCACATTGATTTCAGCTCCAAAGAGAAGAAACTCCATTCCTCTTTGCCACCCTTCCCTCTTCTCTCCTCTCCTTTTCCCAACTTCTTTCTCATCCCCCAACGTCTCCTATTTCTTAATGATATATTTTTAAGTGTGTGCACTGTGTACTGGGAAAAAAAAAAAAAAAAAAAGCCTGAGTCTCTCCATCTCCGCTGCCTTGAATTGGCATGTAATTAAAGAGTCTGATATGGAGGAGAGAGAGCGAGTGAGTGAGGGAGGCAGCGGGAGAATGGGAGACAGAGTAAGTAAGAAGTGCATTCCTGCTCGTTTGTCGTTCGCAGTCGCATGTGTGTGTGTGTGTGTGTGTGTGTGTTAGTGTGTGTCCGCTGGGTTTGTGGGTCTGTGAGCCACCTCTTACTCTGCTTTCTTTAAGTGCCAGCGGGCGTATTTGTGCCGGACAGGCTTTGAAGTCGCTCCAAAATACACAGATCTTGTCACCTGGAGTGTAAAGAATCTAAAGTTTATAGAACTACACGGTGTCGCAAAAAAGGTATTTTGACTGTCATCTTTTTCTTTGTAAGTCAGAATCAAAAGATTGTGTCTCACAAATCTTTCATGTTTTTACAGAGAGCTACAGCTAAACACTGCACTGCACACACCTTAATGTGACCAAAATGGGCACAGACTCCTTAGCCGAATACTTGCTTTATTCAACATCACCTCAAACAGCTTTTCCAAAGTGGAATCTTACTTTAGCAACATACAGTATTTCACTAAATCGCAACATATTTAACCGTGCTACTGATTTTAATTGGGCTGCTGCAGGTAATCTGGTGCACATTAGCTTGTGAACCGTTGTCATATGATTGGCTAATTCATGCTTTTCATCCATCCATATCCACCAGGGTCCCCGAGGTGTTCTCCCGAGGGACAGTTCGCACAACAAGCATGCTGACTGCACATGTGCAAGGAAAACAAATTGTGCGTAAAACACACGTCTGGTATGAGGGGAGAAAATACAAGGACAGTCATGGCAATCCACACCTTCATCGTTAACAGAGCTGTAATGGAAATAGTCACTGCAGGACTTCGGAGGTGCTTTGATTTTTGTTTTCTTTCTATCGATGGAGCTCAGACACAGTGGGAAGTTCTACATTCTCCAGATATCCCGTGTTACATCCGCCTACTGTGCTCGGCCCACCTCGGGAACAGGCACAGTGCTGCAGCCCAACCTATATCCTGTAAATATTGACTGGTTTGTTTCTCTGTGTTAGATATTAGGGGCAATGGCCCAACTGCAGTATGAACAGAGCTACATGTACAGTCCACTTATTGGAGGATGTAAAAAGCATGAATTGTAATCTTCAGGTAATCTTGGCATTAATGTTAAAGTTAAAACGTATCTATGTGTTGCTGGATAGACAATAAAATACAATAATGTAGTTTTTCTCTCCTAGGTGGCAATAGTAAAATCTCTGTATGGGCTAGGACAAAAAAAAAAGTGAAACTGAAGTGTAACTGACTGCTTGCAGCTGTCTTTCCTTGGAGTTTGTTAAATAGTTCTGGCTATCGTACAGCAGTCAATCAATACAGATCAATACGAGCATCTCCATAGTGAGAAATCTGCTGTGTGCATTTATGTATGTGGCACAACAACGTTAACATCGTCCCAGATACGGCATTGGCTGCTGCCAATTATGATACACTGCACAGGAAAAAAAAATGATCATCTGAGGTGCCTGACACTCATTTTTAGTCCAACATCCTAACGTCTTTTAGGTCAGTCTTGCGTCCAAGTGTGTTACCCTGTCGATATGTGTTTCCCCCTTAGAATAACCTGAACCAAATCTTGTCCTACATAGAAACACAAATGTAATGAGAAACAGTGTAAGTCTATAAAACACCTTGTCCTGTCAAGTTTATTGTTACAGGGATTTTTCATGTTCCAATTCTTGTAGTAGTTGCTTTATTGGGGGCACAATCTCTTAAAAAATTCACTAAAATAACAAAAAAATCCTGAGTATGTACCAACAAAAACTTCTTTTTTTTTGTACCATGCATGACCGTAGTTAAATAAACAATCATTGCACATGGACAGACAGGGCGTTCACCAAAAATTCAAACTAATAAAATTATTCCATCACCTCAGGCAGCATATTTAAGGTGATGTATATTAATTATTTTTAGTATTATTACCTCCACCAAAGAGGCCTGCATTATGCTTTCATTACTATTTGTTTGTTTGTCAGCAGAAGTACTACAAAGCAGATTTTGCTAAAACTTGGTGCAGAGGTGCAGCATGGGCAAAGCAAGAAGCCCTTCTACGCTCTCTAAGTGCCCTTCTAGTTGTGTTGTGTTTTCATGGAGATGAACTTTTTAACCCTCAGATGTAACACAGCCTCTCCTCTCCACGGCTGGTTAAAATGACCATTTTCCCACTGACCTCTGACGGCGTCTATTCACGATAATAATCTGGTGATTTGTTCTTGCTTGACAAGGTTTTGTAGGTTTGCAGATAAATTTGAGATACTTTTAAAAAGAAGCCTTTAAAATTGGACATCTCCTTTCAGAATGCTCAGTACAGTGGAGCTGAATAGATAATCCATGTAATTATCAGTCTGCTTCATGAGGACATTTCCTACTGCAGAAACAGTCCATATGTCCACAGTGAGGTCTGTGGAAATTTGCATCGCCACTGTATTTGGAAGAAATCTCACTAGATCCTCCACCTACGCACCAAAAAAAAAAAATATCTCACAGAGTTGGCAACCCTGTCTGCAGTTGCCCA